ATTTGTTAGATTCGGTGAAAGTCCTGTATTTACCTCACACAGAAAAAAAAAATTAACGAAGTAAACAAACAAAAAAAAAAAAAATTTATTTTATACAAAGAATTACTTCCGTAGAAAATGGAAGATTGCGAAGTCAAATGTAAATAATTCACATTTAGGTGAGGAATTTAACTTTGGGAATTAGGCTAAAGAGAATCGTAATATTTCAATGCTTACCAATATTTATTAACCTGGCAGAATCTTTGTTTTTATTAGCGCGTTTCCATGTTTAAATATTTAAAGAGGACAAAATCCAGGCTAGCAGGAGAGAGAGAAAGAGAGAGAGAGAGAGAGAGAGAGAGAGAGAGAGAGAGAGAGAGAGAGAGGCAAATTCTGATTGATGCCGACGTTCCGAATTACGGGGTAAGCAAGAATAGGACCAATGCCTTCCTAACAAGCATGTCGTAGGAGTCGACTAATTGACGGTATCCTTTGAAGTAGGAGTGCATTTGCCCGGGTGAAATGGAACAACAAACTGCTCATAAATTATCACTTCAGGTTATTGACTGTTATCGAATGTTCATAAAGTCTCTTCCAACACGCACTGGAATATCTTTCTTCTGTATGACTAACGAATACCGACCCATACACACCGTGATTGGTCGTTCATTCAAGTTTGCTGACCTTTCACACCTGCGGCTCTCTGTTACAGGGTGTCAGGTTGTATCGTCTTTGACGCTCTCATCGGTGATGACGCCATATTACACCATGTGACAGCTTTTAACGACCCCCACAGACTTAAGAGCTGGCCCTGACACCTCCTCCCACCCCCCCCCCCCAACCCCCACAGCCTCGCCTACATTCCCAGAAGAGACTGCAACTTACGTCCCATGTTTTTAGAACTGTTAAAATTTTGCGGTCGGCCTCCTTTTTAGTCGTCAACACTAACAACTAAAGTCCGAGAAGGTTAGAATATACGCAATGTCGCCGACCGCTCAGGACAAAGAGTAAGACACAATGTGTGCCTAGCCGCTCAAACGAAGCTCAGTATATACATTAAAAAAAAACACTGTCTGGCACCCCTGTAACAGAGACTCGGGGGTGTGAAAGGTTAATAAGCATGAATAAACAGTCAATCACGTTATGAATGGGCCGGTAAATGTTACTTGAACCCTTTCTTCTAACGTAGTTTATGCTGTGTTCTCTTTTTTGTATATTTCAGTTACTAACATTAGTTACTAACAACAAGTATGTGTTTTGCTTTCTATACTCTTTGGCCACACGGTAGCCCCACTATATTCACAAGTTTCAGTTCTTTTTTTTTCTTGACTTATCGGCTATACAAGCCTGACCCTCACTGGTCGTCTGCCCGTCTCCCGGGCTTTTCCTCCCTTCCTTCTTCTTGTCCCTAGTTATATCCTTCCTTCTAGAAGGGTGAGCAAATTGTTACATTTTCTGCCGTTCGTCAACCTGTTTATTCTCACTTTCATAGACTCTCTAGTCAGCTAGTCTCGCTTCATGTAAAGAAAAATTTATGTACAGCTCCTGTCTGTACCTGCTGTTCTAATCTGTCTTTCTAGCGCTGTAGTGTAGCTGTCATGCCACTCAATAATTAATTGATGTCTCTTCTACACATTAGTGACCGTTGGCAAGATTGTCTATCCTAATTGCGCCCAGCTCTCGTAATTAATCACAAATTGAATCCTTGCCTCGCCTCAGTTCTTCCAAATCTTCTCCCCTCATTGCATACATCTTTCAGTGTCAAATTCTCTGGTTGCTGGCCCCCAACTTTCCTACACTATGGTTGTTGGCGTTCAACTTTCCTACACTATGGTTGTTGGCGTTCAACTTTCCTACACTATAGTTGTTGGCGTCCAACTTTCCTACACTATGTTTGTTGACGTTTAACTTCCTACACTATGTTTGTTGACGTTTAACTTCCTACACTATGGTTGTTGACGTTTAACTTCCTACACTATGTTTGTTGACGTTTAACTTCCTACACTATGTTTGTTGACGTTTAACTTCCTACACTATGTTTGTTGACGTTTAACTTCCTACACTATGTTTGTTGACGTTTAACTTCCTACACTATGTTTGTTGACGTTTAACTTCCTACACTATGTTTGTTGGCGTCCAACTTTCTACACTATGTTTGTTGACGTTTAACTTCCTACACTATGGTTGTTGGCGTTCAACTTTCCTACACTATGGTATTGGAGTCCAACTTTCCTATACTATGGTTGTTGGAGTCCAACTTTCCTACACTCATACATTTAGCGTTCAGCGGCTGACGTAAACTCCCGCTAAATATTACGGTTGTTCGTCCAGTCCTGGAATTTGGTCTTGTTCCAGAACTTGAGTTTTACGACCAAATTCGACCTGGCCTATTTGTATACAAACTATTGGTTCCTTGTCCTTCAGACAGATGCACTCCGACTTCTCAGAACACACCCCTAGTTAGTCACCTCCTACCACAAGCTTGTTGGAGATTGGAAAAGGGATGGGGCGGGCTATTTGTTCTTTCAAAGGGTGTCCAAGAGCCCACATGTGGGACTCTATTTTTTGTTGTCTAGCTTTTTCGCACCCTTTCCCTCCTCTTTGATTTCACTATCGATTTTTAAGAAAATGCTTGTGTCAGGTCTCAGCTCTACTGTGGGAATCGCAGCCTCTAAGTGATGAAAGTTCTCTAAGCTGAGCTGAACTCGAAGCATTCCAATAAGCGCATTCCCCATCTTCAGCAACAATCAGAGATTTTTTCCCTTTAAAACCAGTTATGCCAGCTTTAATTAGATTAGTGTCCATCTTGACTTACTTTCAGTGCTGAGTGTCCACCTGATTCCTCACTCACACTCCGCTGCATCATTTTCTCTCAACCTTGATTTACGCGTTTCCGCTCTGTTTACTTGATCCCTAAACGCCTTGACTACATCTAGCCTCTCCTTAACCAGTTTATCACCAGATAGTGCAGAACCAGCTGATCTCTCTGCCTGTTTGTTTCCTAACACGCCATCATACCTGGTTAGTAAAATAAGTTTAAAAGATGCTAAAACCCGTTATCTCCAAAAGGATGCTTACAACTTTATACAAAACATGGGTCTTTCAGTCAGATCTGTTAAACGGATGTGCACGCAACACTCAGTTTCTGGAACAAGACTAATGTCCAGAGGTGGACAAACAACCATAACTTTCTACTGGTGTTAACAGCAAGTGAAAGCAAAAAAAAAAAAAAAAACTTCAGTAAGTTTTGTGAGTCCAGCAATGTCTGTCTGTTCACATGGAAGCCAGCAACAAGTTGGCCTGGCACCACTTCTTTTCTCACGTAGATTTTGTGCTGTCATATACTAGACAGCAATAAACATCGTCCACCTGAATTTGCTATGAACACTTCAAACACTTATTCTGCATTCTGTTTTTTCCCGTCTGCCTCTTTTTCAGCGACAACGTTTACCATGTCCTCCCCTTCCCCCTCCTTTTTCCCCCATTAGTTATAAACACAACTACATGCTTTATGTTTTCATCGGTCTGACTAGTTGTTCTTAAACAGTTGCTACCAACTTCGGTCATAAATGCGGTATGTTCTGTTTCTGTGACATCCGGGCATCACGTCAATGAGTATATTATCAGCCGAACAACACTCACTAGGTACCAGAGTACCACTCTAAGCCACTAGTTGTTGTGCAGTTAACATTTATCAGCCAACATAATTGGCACCTTGAAACCGGACAACAATTATAACTGATACTACTCGCAGTAGGTTGAACGTGGACCTTTTTTTTTTTTTTTACATAAATGGATGGATGGAAACAAGATATACGCACAAGCTATCTTTGCCATGTTTGCTGCAAAATCTTCCGACACGAGGGGGTTTTAAATAAAAAAAATGTAAAGTGTTATAAAGATTATAATAACCATACCATAGTCTTATGGGAGCCGCCATGGTCTAGCGACTAGACGCTAGCCTGCTGATGGAAAGGTCATGGGATTGGAGTCCTGACAGAGTCCGGAAATTTTTACAAACTGATCTTGGCTGCCAGGTCGGCCCAGCTTTAAGTGAATATTAGGAACAGTCCTGTGAAGTAAAAGTGGACAGTGTGATGCTGACCACATCATCCATCAAGTGCCGTTCGGTGTATAAAGTATAGATCTAGCCTTATATACCCAATACGCCTTAAGGCGAGAAAAAAGGGTCCTTCAAGTTACTTATTGTCTTATAACCAGTCACTACTTTTGTTAAAGATGTCAAGGGCGTTGTGCACGTGTCATCACAGTGCAGACGAATACAGTGACGTCATAGCTGCAGTTTAATGATAACCGCCCCACATTTGACAAGCTCTCTCTCATGTCCACCTTATTTTTGAACAACATCTGCGATTTTCCTCCTGATTTTTGTCTTCCATTATCGTTCTTTCAATGCCAGTGCAACGTTTATTGTGACCAAAGTATTTTATTTTCCAGGACTCATTGTTGTTTCTGAGACCCGTTTGCCTAGGAATTTTTAAGTGCATACAATTAATCTCATGTGGTTTCTGTCATTTCCATTACCAACAGAGTAGTTGATCGACTTCCAAGATGTGATCGATTTTGTAAAGCTAACATAAACTAATTGTTGTTTCTTACCAACTTTTTCTCTTCCCTATAATTTTCAACTCCTTATATAAGACTCAGGTTATAGGCATGACATACATTATACCAGACTTTCATTAACACTAGTGATATTACCACTATAAGGCAATGCATTACTGTGAAAATGGTTCTTTAAGTATGTTTAACAAAAATGCGGGGTGCTTTATTATTAAGAAGGTAGTAGGCATGACATACATTATACCAGATTTTCATTACCACTAGGTGGTTTTGACACTCTCTATTGGCTGCTAAAGGGGGCCCGGGGGGGAGGGGGGGGGGGGTTTGAAATGCTCTGAAAGAAATAATGTCCGTTTTTTGTTCAGTTTAGTTTGTCAAATATGAAGTCTCAAAGTGATGCCTTGTCTGAATAGTTTATATGATCCTTTGTCTTGCAGGTCTTTGATGCCGTCGTGGTAATAGTGTCATTTACCCTGGACATCGTCTTTAGCTTTGTGTCGATAGAAAGCGCTGCAAAAGATGCCGCTGGGCTCATGGTCATTCTGCGATTGTGGAGAGTCACCAGAGTCATCAATGGTAAGTGCATTTAAACTAACTTAGGCATGTCTGTTGACTGAGCCATTAGAGATCAGACCTATCACAGTTAATGACTTGAAGTTTTTCTCAGCTAGGCTTATTTTAGATGCATTTGCATTGTCCCGTTTTTACAGACCAAAACGTTATATCGCTGTACAGTGAGGTATGGGATAAGGCACATGGCTATGGTCTGATTAGTAAGACCCGCTCGTGTTGAGAAAATCTTGCACGTTTAGGACATAGGTTATCAGGGTCCATTGTTGTAATAGCTTTATTAAACTTGCTTCTTTTTCAGTCAATCAGCCTTTAACATAATAACAATCATTTTCTACCTTATCGCCATTCTCTTTGTGATTTCCTCCTTCATGCAACATGGTCCATGGCATCTTGTTCCAACCATTCCACCTCAATATCTATATGATTCATATCCCACCTGCACAAATCTTTTTATCGGAGCGGAGGACGACCTCTGTATTTTCTACCCCTCTGCAGTTCACAATAGACTTTTTTTTTTTTTTTTACATTGGTAATTCCTCAATCATTAAGTTTTGTTTTTAAGTGAATACTTTTAGTGTGTGGTCCTAGCTGGGAAAATTATTATTCTTATCACATAATTTATTGGTGTCTAGGCTCGCGGTCCAAAAACTATTTGTTGTCTTGATTGTGTCACGTACTCTTTGTTCAAAATACACGTAAAATGGTGTTTGTTGACAGTACGCTTTTGTCAATAAAACATTTTATCAGAGCAATTCTTTATTATTTAACAACTTTATATTTGCCTGATGAAATAGATGCTTGACAGAATGCGTAATACGACTAATACCATAATTACGAATATGTATTTTTTTGGGCGTGGGGGGGGTGGGGGGGGGTGGGTGGACACCTTGCAGACACATCTCTTTTAACTCAAGCATTTAGCCTCAAGCGTGAGAGTTGTGGAATGACTTAAAACAACACAGACTTCGAGTTCAAAATTAACGGAGATGGGTGTGGAAAAGGGGGGGGGGGGAGGAATAGACACCCACAGATCCAAACAAACGTTTCGACCAGTCTTTAACAGTTGTTTCCAGTTATGTATTTTTGACACATTTAAGGGGTCCATTTTATCATTTCAAAATAATAAATAAATAAATAAATAAATAATAATATAATAGGAAAAAGAGAACAACCATTAAGGTTTTTAAATGTATATCTTTCGATCTATATATATATATATATATATATATATATATATATATATATATATATATATATATATATATATATATATTGTGTTTTTGTGTGTGAGCGTGTGATTTATATAGATCTTTCAGAAAAATCTTGGCACATCAAACAGAACACCACAAATGATGAGGTTCGCCGTATAATTACCCTACACATTGAATACTATGAATTTCTTTTAACTACACTGAGAAGATGGAAAATGCAAGGGTACGGACATGTAGTAATATCTAGCAGCCTCAGGGAAATAATACACAATGGCTCAGTAGAGGGGAAAATTAGAATATTCATACCAAAAATTAGGACATGGACACACCATTTGACCGAACTGAGAGGACACGCAAGAAACCATGAAGTCCATCGCATAAAGCTTCAAAGGTGGAAGTAGCTGATCAGACAGTCAAAGCAACTGGGGACCCACTTACAGGCAGCGTTACGGGATGTTGATGATAATGATGATGAGTATATGTTTAGTCTTTTTTTTTTATATATATACGACTGTTAAAAAAGTAAGGGTTCTATGGCAATAGTACCGAGCTAAAGGGTTTACAACTCATGGTTTCTGGATATTTGAAGAAAAAAAAATATCTTCGGAAATAAGAGAATGTCCACCTGTATTATCAAGAGCAGCGGCTAGTACAACCGTCCTTAAACCGCGACCCTTTAATGCAGTTCCTCATGTTCTGGCGACTCCAAAACATCCATTTATTTTCGTTACTACTTAATAATTTCAGTGATTATGTGTTTTTCGATGGTCTATTGCGACCTCTGTAGAAAGGTCGTTCGCCACTTGTCTGCAACATTCGCTGATTTTATTCCAGTCGTATTTTATGACGGGTTTAATAACTTCTTGATATCATCTCCAACGGTGTCAGCCCTATCTTCCACATCACTTTTCTCTTCAAGGATCTTGATACTGTTTATGTTTGACATTGATATCACAATGCTGGACTTGAAATACATTCCGCCATTTGTCGCTTGATGTCCATTGTGATATTCCAATGTTTGAGTTCAAGATAAAACGGCCGATAAGCCATACAATTGTTTGGGCGTTGCCATGGTGTTTTATCTCTGCAACAAGTATTCCACCTGTAAGTCTCGTCTGCTTGAATGTTTGACCTCTCCCATTGGTTTTATTTAGGTCTCACAGTAAATTTTGCCTTTTGACTGGCAGAGAACTATTCTTGCTAAATGAATATGAGAACTAACGTTTAATCTCCAACAAACATACACAATGTCAGCATCAGTGTTACTTGACGGAGCCAGCCCCCTGCCCACCCCAA